CATCCTTTTAAGTTTTAGTTGTTATTTTATACTCTTTTAGTTAAAGTTTGGACATTTGGATAAGTGGTTATGTCAACCTTTACCACTTTAGAAAAGTTTTAAAAATATTATATCTCTTCTATAGTTCTATTTTGCTTTTATAATAAATTAATAAAATTAAAATTTATAACTATATGTTACTTTTTATTTAGTTTTTAATTTTACTATTATTTAGTTTATTTTATATATATGTGTAATATATATATATAAAGAACGATTCGTTTACTCTATATAAGTCATGCTCTATATCAAATTTTAACGATCTAATTATTAAACTAAAAGTTATTAATGTACATAATAAATTTGTAAATTTTAAAAAAAATTAAAAATCATTTGATACTTCGTTTCATTAATTCTAATTGATAGATAATCTCATTTAGGTATATTTACTCCTAAGTAAATAAATCATTCTTTATATATATTAGTATTATGTTTTACATAAATTATTATTATACTTTATTATTATTATTATTATTATTATTATTATTATTATATGCACTTACTTAAAAAAATTAAAAGAAATTAAACTTAATTAAAAGAAGGCCTATCAAACATAAACAAAAAAAAAGACAAAATAGTTAAAACGTTGTGTCCGCTGGGCCAATTCTCTAAACTCAAATCCTTTCTTAAATTTATCTGTAGGTGTGGTCATACGGAACACAACTTCTCAATATTGATAGGAGTTTCGTAGTTTGCTTAGTACGTGGAAGTGGAAACCTTCAAGTTTCAAAGGTGGGTGCTCAGTGCTTCTTCTTAACTGTGATTTTCTTCTGTTAATTAATTTTTGTGTAACCCAAATTGGCATAAACTATGGAACTAAACTTGAGTCTGTTATTATAATCCAAACCTCTAATTTTTATTTTTTGTTTTTTGTTTTTCAGAAAAATCCCTTTTGAGGCATTTGTTTGATTGTGTTCAAGGTTGGCTGATTTTATGCAGTGGTTGGCTTTATTTGATGAGAGAAAATTGCGGGGATGTTTGTTTGTCTCAATTGGCTCTATTTTCTTTGTTGGGTATTTCTTTGTTGCTGTTATTTCCAAGCTTCTCCCACCTTCAAACATTGCCCTCATTTCTGCGTTACAAAATGACTGGTAATTAATTAATTAATTAGTCCTGATATTGAGATGTGATTCTATAGGTTTTTACTTTCATGTCAATGGTTTTTCAGCATAATTGTCGATTTTGGGGAGGGCATAACTTAGGGTGTAGAATGTAAGGGCTTGAAATTGCAATATGTTCTGTCATGGGTTTTTGTATAAATTGTTTTGTGTCATGTGATGATGATAATGGGTATGTTACTGTGTTTCATGAACATGTCATTCATGCTTGTTTGATGATGATAATGGGTGTGTTACTGTGTTTCATGAAAATCTTATTCGTGCCACACACTGAGAGGTTACAATGTGTTCATTCAAGACAAGATATGATTTGGTTAGTTTGGATTCTTTGGAACATGGTACGATTTTTCTGCTTACTCGATTACGCAAATTAAACTAGGTTGTGTTCTTCACATGTTGTGTATCTGTAAAGTTTTGAGGTTTGCTCCATGTTTGTGTCTGCTTGTCTTGTAGATCTCTAAGGGTAGAAACGAAGTTTATTTTTAGGTATATTTGAAAATCAAAAATGAGACTATGGCTAATAGATTATAAAAGGATATAAACAAATCAACAACTGAATTTCCAAGAGAACTCTCCTGATCTGTTCTCAACATTCACTTTATTGAAGGTGTCAATTAGGTGGCACCACATTATACTCCTTCCAGTATTAGGGGTTTTATTTGTGTACAGAACTGTAAACTATCTGCAAATCTTGATTAAATCAAACATCTTCAAGAAGAATGATAGTGCTGGTTATCTGTAGCCATAGCCTCTGAATTTCTCCAACATCAAATTATCCTGATCGATAGCATTAACATCTATAGTAACGAAAGATTCCATACTCTATTGTAGCCTAGACTAAACAACTTGGACCTCCTCACATCCTTCAGACAATGATTTTGTAGAAAATAACTCTCTTGGTGATGCTTTAGGAAATAATGTTAGGGAAATGGTTTTTGATAGAAGAACCAACGAACATGTTGGAGATCAAGACGAGGGAGGTGATTTTTGATAAGTACTTAATCAGGTACCATTTGTCTCTTGGTCCAACATGATGGTTATCCTAGCTTCCTTAGTGATTCTTTCTTTTGGACATGGGTCATAAACTTCAGCAAAGATAAAATATCAAGAGGCAAGAAGGAAACAATCCCATGTTGATTATTATTCATGAAAAAGGAGCCAAATATATACAGGCAACAAGAATGAGAAAAAGGAAGGGAGGTTACAGAGAGAGAAAAACAATACAATCATAAGATGAGGTGGCAGAGCAAAATAACATAAAAGATTCTAACTAAATAACACGTGCTACATGGCTGCCAGCAAGCCATTATTCCAGAACTTTTACCCATTATCATCATTTGTCTTTATCTTCTCTAGCCTATTTGAATTGTAACAGGCCCCTCAAGTTGGGAATGGATGTCATACATTCCTCGCTTGCCGTAAGAAACTTTGAAAACATGAGGATGAAGAGCTTTCGTGAATATGTCTGCAAGTTGCATTGAAGAAGAAACCGGGAGAAGATTGAGAACTCCAAGATTAACCTTTTCTCTAACAACATGGCAATCTATCTCAATATGCTTCGTTCTCTCGTGAAAAACCTGATTACAAGCTATTTGAATGGCAGAATCATTATCACAAAACAATAATGCAGGCTTTTTGTAAGAAACTTTGAAATCATCAAGCAAATAAGAAAGCCATTGAATCTCGCATGTAGTTGATGCAAGAGCCTGGTACTCAGCCTCAGATGAACTACGTGAGACCATTGCTTGTTTCTTTGACTTCCAAGAAATCAAAGAATCACCCAAATAGACAGAAAAACTAGTAACAGATCGTCTTGTCTCAGGGCAACCTGCCCAATCTGAATCACTAAAGCCTTTTAGTTGTAAAGCACTTGAGGAAGAAAAGAAAATTCCAACACCCAGAGATTGCTTTAAATATCTTAAAACACGAAAAGCAGCCCTGTAATGAAGATCAGTGGGGGAGGAAACAAATTGACTTAGATTTTGAACAGCATAGGTGATGTCTGGACGAGTGGAAGTAAGATAAATTAGTCTTCCAATCAACCTTCTATAAGGAGAAGGATCTGCAAGTGGAGTGTCTGTGTCTGAAGTCAGTTTGGTCGTATAGTCAGTTGGAGTGGAGGTAAGAGCACAAGCTAACATTCCAACATCTGCTAACACATCAAGAACATATTTTCATTGAGAAAGATGAATACCATCAAGCGAACGAGCCACTTCGAGACCAAGAAAATATTTGAGATTACCCAGATTTTTGACTTTGAAGGCTTGATCTAAAAGGAGGGTGATATGGGAAATTTCTGACAAGTCATTTCTAGAGAGAATGATGTCGTCCACGTAAATGAGAAGAGCTGTGATGGAAGTACCCGTGAATTTCAAAAATAAAGAATGATCTGCTTGAGAGTGATGATAACCATGAAGAAGAAGGAAGCTAGATAATCGGGCATACCACTGGCGGCTTGCCTGCTTAAGACCGTATAGAGAGCATTTTAAAGAACATCTTCCAGATGTAGATTCTTCAATCTTCAACAGAAGAACTATGTCTACATATAATAATTAGAGAAACACAAACACGAACAATAATAATCACGTGGATGTAGAGCAAACAAACCCCAACCCTGATAATGTGACCAATGTAACCAGGGGGGCAGTATCTTCCCCTGTGCTACTCGAAAACACAGCTAGGCAAACAAATGTTACTCAGGAACTAGCAAACGTCACTAGGGAATATCCTTGGGGTATGCCACAGAATTGGCGAAATACCCAACCTGTACATGTCAAAATGCCAATACCGTTATTAAGACCTAATCCACAAATGCACGTATCCCCACAGGGATATAATCCTGGAGCGAATGGCATGGGTTTTGTTATGCATGACCCATATCAACATGTAGGGACAAGTCAGGAAGGTTCCTTGATTCGATAGGGTAGTTATGTACCTACTGGTATTAGTAACCAAGCCGTGATGGCTCTTCGACAACAGATGGATCATAGTAATCATGACATGGTTAACCTGTTGTCAACCCAAATGCATAATATAATGACTCCTTTGTATGAATTAATAAACAAAATAGGAGATAAATTGGGTGATAGGCCTCCCTCGAGAGCCATGAGTGCGAATCTGAATGAGATGGAAAATCTGGGCAGGAATGGAAATTTTTATCAGAACGTAGTTCGACCTAATAGAAATCCCAATGATAACTTAGATCAGATGGTAGAAAGGATATTAAATAGACATGGATTCGATGTAGGTCAAAATGAACATCCTTATTTTGTGTCAGCCTTCCCAGATTATGTAACCCAAGTAGAACTACCTAGAGGAGTAAAAGTCCCAAAGTTTTCAAAATTCGCGGGAGAATTAACTGAATCTACAGTCAAACATATAGCTAGGTATGTAGTCAAATGTGGGGACTTAGCAAACAATGAATATTTAAAGATGAAGTATTTTCCAAGTTCGTTGACTAAACATGCTTTTACATGGTTCACAACCTTGCCCCCTAATTCGATACACACTTGGATTCAATTAGAAGGTAGTTTTCATGAACATTTCTTCAGAGAAGAAACGAAAGTTAGTATAGTTGATCTAATGAACATTAAAAGACAAAGTCAGGAAACGTTAGATGATTATTTAAATAGGTTCCGGCAATTAAAATCTCGATGCTATACTAACATACCTGAACATGAATTAGTAAGGATTGCAGTGACAGGGTTAGATTTCTTGATACGTAAAAAATTAGTAAATGAACAGTTGAGAGATATGGCTCAGTTAGCAGAAAAGGTAAGAAGGATCGAACAAATCAAGTTAGAGAAGGAAAGGTTAAAAAAGTTTGATAGGTTTGTTCGAAAAGATAAAATAGCCTATTTAGAAAATGTTGAGATGAGTGAGGATAATAATTATGTGATTTCGAGTGAAGATTTTGAGGTTAACCTAGCAGAGTTACGTCCTGGGCCTATTTATCAATGTCAAATGTTAAAACCAGGAGACAATGTAGAAGGGAACTCAGCTAAGAAATATAGTTTCGATGTGACAAAGGCAGATAAGATATTCGATATTCTGTTAAAAGATAAACAAATTGTACTCCCAGAAAACCATAAAATTCCACCATTCATGCAAAGAAAGGAAAGAAATTGTGTAAGTATCATAATATGTATGGCCATTGGACTAACAACTGTGTGCGTTTCAGGGATATGATCGAAAAGGCGATTACTGATGGTCGCCTTGCTTTCGAGGAAAAGGACATGAAAGTGGATACAGATCTATTTGCTGTTCATACTGGTTATGTGGAACTAGTATCAATGGCCATCAACATGGTCGAAGTCAATGTCGAAGACGATGACAATATTGAGCCCATTTCAGATGAGAAACTCGAAGAATTGATGGACGACTTTGCCAAAGAGGAGGAACCTATCTACCCAAAAGAAGGAGATAGTTTGGTTGAGTTTCTGTCGAAGAAGAAAGAGGCTGATAAGAAGGTTATGTTGTGTCCCCGATGTAGTGTTGTCTTTGACAGAGCTGCGGCTAAGGCTTTCGAGGAGTCATAAATGATGAAGAGTTACAAAGTTGAAAAGCTGCGTGAGAAGGCTAGATTTAATGCTGGGTCGAATGCTGGGTTGACCATGAGGCAGGTTCACATGCCTCAATATAATGCTCCAGTAGGGAAGATGGAAATGTATAATTCGTTGAGATTCGGCAATACTTTTGTGCCGAATGCGAACGTGCCTGTAGGAAAATGGAATGCACTACCAAGGCCTGTGGTTGGTGGAATGGGTCGAGGGAAACAAGTGATGACTTATGCTGGGAACCCAGTACATGGAAATCCTAGAAAGTTCTCGAATTTGACTACAAGGCCTGGTAGAGTCTCGACTGGAGGTTATGGACGTGGCTTTCGACAGCCTTTAAACAATTTAACCAGAACCCAGTGGAGGAGACAACAAAGGATGCGGAAGGCTACCTTTGAAGGTCTTGGAGGAAACCATTTCTCGATTCCAGTACCTCAGAAAGGGGAATCATCTCGAAAGTTCATCGAAGATGATAAAGATATGATAACAGATTGTTTCGAGAGTGGTTTTGAGGATTCTTTAGAAGATATTTGTGGGATAATATCAATTCTGCCTTCTGAGTATGCTGAGGCCATGTAGTCTATAAATGAACAAGAGGATATTCATCGAGAAGACTTCTTCGATGACCCCAACTATGAATCCAAGATTGTGTGGGTCAATCAAATATCGAGGGTTATCCCCAAATTCAACTTTGCCGTGTTCAACTCTCCCACTGAGGAAATGAAAGGACACCTTAAGCCTCTATTGCTAACTGTGATGATCGAAGGACATGAAGAGAATAAGGTTTTAGTTGATAGTGGTGCAGCCGTGAACATCTTACCTAAAATAATGCTGAAGAGGTTTGGGAAATCAATGGCTGACTTGAAACCCCATAATATCATGATCTCAGACTATGCAGGAAAATCTTCACACCCCTAAGGTATGATTCTGCTTGATGTTCAGATTGGGAGTGTGAAGAGAACTACCATGTTCATAGTAACTGCATCCAAGGTGAACTTTAATGTCTTGTTAGGTCGAGAATGGATACATGGGGTAGGAGCTATCCCTTCCATAGTGCATCAAAAGATCTTCTTCTGGAATGATGACGAAGGATTAGAAGTGCTCAAGGCTGACCAGAAAACGTATGAGGTTGGTATGTATTTTGCTGATCAACAATTGACAGCATTCGCAAAGACTAAACCTTTCGATGCATATAATTCTGGAGTGATGGATGAGGAAGAAGGAATTAAGAAAACTTTCTGCTGGGACGTGAAGAGATTCGAGCCGAAAAGGATTTGGCTCCACTTGAGGAATGAAGGATAAAGATCCTTACTCGAGCTTCTTAGCTCGAATATCGGCCTATGTGGCCGATCGAACGACCAACATGGCCGAGGAAGATCAAGACAAAGAGGTACGTTCAAATGAGACTGATGAAAATATCACAGCTATTTTGGCCGAAGAAAAACAAAAAACAAAGAAAGAGGGAATAGATTTCGAAGTCAAAAAGAAAGAAGAAAAGCGAAAAAAGAAAAGGGATGCAGACTTCGAAGTCAAAGGAAATGGAGAAAAAGAAAAAAAAAAAGAGAAAAACCGAGAGGACCAGGTCGCCTCGAGAAAAGAAAAAATAGAAATAGACCAGGAGGTTGAGAACTCGAAAGAAGGAAAGCAAGAGCCAGAACTCAAATTAGATTGTATCTTCGATGACTCACCACTGGGATTTGAAAAAGCAGCCAAGGAAGAACATAAATTAGAATCTCAGGATCCACTCGAGGAAATTAACTTGGGAACGGACGAGAATAGAATAGTGACTTATGTTAGCAAGCTCTTGCGAGGAGACTTAAAGGAGGAATTAATTCGAGTGTTACATGATTATAAAGATTGCTTTGCATGGGATTATGATGAAATGCCGAGATTAAATCGAGAATTGGTGGAACATAGGTTACCCATGATTCCCGGAAGGAAACCTATTAAGCAAAATCCTCGAAGGTTTGCTCCTGAAGTAATCGAAAAAATCAAGGAAGAAATTGAAAGATTACTAAAAGCAAAGTTCATCAGAACTTCAAGATATGCTGAGTGGGTCTCGAATATTGTGCCTGTGATAAAAAAGAATGGAAAACTCAAGGTATGCATTGATTTTCGAGATCTCAACACAGCAACCCCCAAGGATGAATATCCTATGCCCATTGCTGAGACTATGATAGATGCTGCTACAGGTAATGAGATTATGAGTTTACTTGATGGTTATTCTGGATATAACCAAATTTATATTGCAGCCAATGATGTATCGAAAATTGCTTTTCGATGTCCAGGTGCTTTAGGTGTCTATGAATGGGTGATGATGCCATTTGGATTAAAAAACCCAGGTGCTACTTATCAAAGGGTAATGAATTTAATATTCCATGATTTAATTGGTAAGTTTGTACAAGTTTATATTGATGACATAATTGTTGGGTCGAAACAGAAGGAGGATCACTTATGCCACTTAAAATTAGCTTTCGAGAGAATGAGAAAACATGGTTTAAAAATGAATCCACTAAAATGTGCTTTTGGTGTTACATCGGGAGAGTTTCTGGGATTTATCATACACTAGAAAGGGATCGAAGTGAATAAGAACAAAACCAAAGCTATCATGGAGACTAAGCCTCCATCGAACAAAAAAGAACTGCAGTCTCTCCTAGGTAAAGTGAATTTTCTAAGAAGGTTTATATCGAATTTATCTGGCAAAACTAAAGTGTTTTCTCATCTTTTACGTCTGAAAAAGGAACAAGAGTTTCAGTGGAATGAAGAACACCAGAAGGCATTCGAGAATATCAAAGAGTACTTGGCTCATCCTCTAGTGCTTGCACCACTCTCTAAAGGGAAGCAACTAAAGTTGTATATTTCGGCTAGCGATTCGACTATTGCGGGCATGCTGGCGCAAGATGATGATAATGGCATCAAGAGAGTCATTTATTATTTAAGTCGAATGTTAGTAGGAGCAGAAACTAGATATACGCCTTTAGAGAAATTATGTTTAAGTCTTTATGTTGCTTGTACAAAGTTGAAGTATTATCTTAGGCCATGTAATGTTGTAATATTTTGTCGAAGTAATGTGATTAAGTATATGTTGTGTAAACCTGTTTTACATTCTCGAGTTGGCAAATGGGCACTTGCATTGACCGAATATTCATTAACTTTTGAACCATTGAAGGCAACTAAAGGACAAGTAATTACAGATTTCCTTGCGGATCACTCGAAAGAAATTGAAGAGGTTAATTATGTAACTATTAAGCCTTGGGAATTATTTTTTGATGGTTCAAAACATAGGTTAGGTACTGGAATAGGTTTGTTGATTATTTCCCCTGGAGGGATTCCCACTAAAATATCATTAACAACAAACAAAGAATATTCGAATAATGAAACAGAGTACTAGGCATTCATAACGGGACTCGAAATCCTGAAGGAGTTAGGTGCAAGGAATGTATTGATTCGAGGTGATTCACAACTATTCATCAAACAACTCACTCAAGAATACAAGTGTTCAAACAAAAACTTAATTGAACTCAAAACTCGAGCTGAACGGCTACTTAATATGTTTGATGAAGTCGAGTTACAACATATTCCTCGAGACTCGAATACCATCGCAAATGAATTAGCCCAGATGGCTTCAGGGTATAAAGTGAGTAAGGTATGTCTCGAGTCCCTAATCCATGCAGAAGGTGAGTCGGTGTGTCAACGGGAAAGTTTAAATATTTTAAATATTAATTCATCAAAGACTCAGAAAGATTGGAGAAAGGAATTAGTTGAATATTTACAGAATCCAAATGTGAAAGTCAAGAGGAGAATCAAACTACAAGCCCTTAATTATGTCCTGTTAAATAATGAATTATACAAAAGGGGTTTCGACGGAGTGTTGTTCAAATGCCTTGGAAGTCATGAATGTTATATAGCTATGGCAGAGGTACATGAAGGTATTTGTGGAGCACATGAAGTAGGTGAAAAAATGAAGTGGGTTTTGTCGAGAAAAGGTTTGTATTGGCCAACTATGATTAAGGACTGCATCGAGTTTGCAAGAAGCTGTGAAGAATGTCAAAAACATGGACCGATACAAAAGGTACCTGCGAGTGAGTTACACTCGATCATTAAACCTTGGCCATTCCGAGGCTGGGCAATCGACATTATCGGGCAAATACATCCATCATCCTCAAAAAATCATAAATATATCTTGGTTGCCATAGATTATTTCACAAAATGGGTTGAAGCTATTCCCTTAAAAGAAGTTGAGCAAAGAGACATAATTGATTTTGTCGAAGATCATATTATTACAAGGTTTGGGATTCCTCAAACAATCACTACTGATCAAGGCACAGTGTTTATAGGTCAAAAATTTGCTCAATATGCTCAATCAAGAGGAATCAAGTTAATAACTTCAACACCATATTATGAACAAGCAAACGGTCAAGTAGAGGCTGCGAATAAAGTGGTGATTGGTTTAATCAAAAAACATATATCAAACAGACCTCGAAATTGGCATGAGACTCTTGTTCAAGTATTATGGGCTTACAGAAACTCTCCGAGAGATGCTACAAAAAATACCCCATATAAACTAGTGTATGGGCACGAGGCTATTCTTCCTATTGATATTAACTTACAATCAATTCATATACAGAAACAAAATGAATTACCTATTGATGATTATTGGAATTTTATGTATGATGAATTGATTTCTTTAGAGGAGGAAAGATTGTTTGCATTACAAAACCTTATTCAACAAAAAGAAAGGGTCGAGAGGTCATACAATAAAAAGGTCAAAGCACAACGGTTTCGAGTTGGGGACTTGGTGTTAAAGGTGATCCTTCCCATAGATCAGAAATCTCGATGCTTAGGGAAATGGTCTTACAATTGGGAAGGCCCCTTCGTGGTCGAGCAAGTATATTCGAATAATGCATACATTATTAAAGAGATAAATTTGAATGTAAGAAAAGTAATGAATGGAAAATACTTGAAGGACTTTCATAAGAGGA